ACTTTTTATTCATCAAAGAATCCTGAAAAAATATCGCAGTTTCCAAAAAAATATTAAGCAGCGCAACTGTTGATAATTCTAATAATAAATCAGCATATTATACTGATTTCTGAAGATCATGTGACACTTTATACTGCAGTAATGATGCTGAAAATACAGCTTTGCATCACAGAAATAAATTATATTTTAAAGGATATTAAAATAGAAACCATTATATTATATTGTAGTAACATTTTGCAAGATTACTGTTTTTTTTCTGTATTTCTGATCAAATAAATGCAGCCTTGATGAGCAGAAGACACTTCTTTAAAAAACATTAAAAATCGTTCTGATCCCAATCTTTTGACCGGTAGTGTATATATATATATATATATATATATAAGATGCATATAAATGTAGATGTTAATTCATGTCCATTCATACTGCATGAACTCCCAAACAGTGATTTTAAGTTCATATTTCAATAATTTAACAACACATTCACATTTGCATGGTTCTCTAATGAGGATTAATGGTCACATGACATGCAGGTAAACAAATACAATATTTAATCTTTATTAGTAAGCGTTTTATTTTGATTGTTTTGATTTTTAATTATTTTATTTTATTAGTTTTTTATTAGCTTTTAATCAACTCCAGTTTGGTAAACCCTGCTTTAACTAAAGTTAATTTATATATTTAAAAATATATATTCTGGTTGTTTTATTTTATTTATGTATTTATTTAAATTTATTTAAATTAATTAATGATTAGCCTTTAATCAACTCTTAATCCCCAGTTCTGAAACCCTGCATGAACTAAAGTTAATTTATCCAAATCGAAATGTTAAAAATGTCAGTGTTTAATTTTGGTGGTTAATTATTTTAATTTAACATTTTTATAGTGTTTCATCAACTCAAACCCTTATCTAAATGTTTTATAAATATGTTTTATAAATATTCTATAGCTCATATTTAGTCCATGTTAAATGGACATTAACTACATTGATTTAAAATTGCTCAGAGTTAGTTCATGCATGCTAACCTTACTCTAAAGTGTTTTAGAAACTCGATGCTGGATGTGATCTTCAGTGCCTTCATCTGGTCTCTCTCTGTGTGTCTGGCAGCGTCTTGTTTCTCGACGCCTCGCTCCATGCTGAAGCTGAGTAAGAAGCGTGCTCTGTCCATCTCGCCGATGTCTGACGCCAGCGTGGACCTGCAGACGGTCATCCGCACCTCGCCCAACTCTCTGGTGGCGTTTGTGAACTCGCGCTGCGGGCAGAACGCTGCCAGCTCATACGGGCATCTGTCTGTGGGAGGCATGAGGTGAAGATCTGCCCTTCAGCCTGGATTCATGATTACATTAAGCCAAACAGACATCCAAAGCACCTTGATGTTCCTCACAAACGCAGCCGATTCTGATCCATGAAAGGGATAGTTCACCCAAGAATGAAGATGTGATGTGTATCTGCTTACCCCCAGGGCATCCGAGATGTAGGTGACTTTGTTTCTTCAGTAGAACACAAACGAAGATTTTTAACTCAAACTGTTCCGGTAAGTCAGTCATATAATGGAAGTGGATGGGAATCATGGCTTTGAGAGTCAAAAAAACATACACACACAAAACCAAATTAAACCCTGCGGCTCGTGACGAGACATTGGTGTGTAAAGACACGAAACGATCGGTCTGTGCAAGAAACTGAATAGTATTTAGAGCCGCAATGTCCAACATCCGGCAAGTGACATGTACGTGCTCTGGCATAGTAGACATATATACATAAGTAGATGCCTCATTAGTGACTGTTTCTATGGGCCGCGGAAATCTATGTATGTATATCTATGTCTACTATGCCAGAGCACGTACACATGAACTATCCCTTTAACGTGGGTTGTTTCTGATTTCAGTCCGTCGTTGGGTTTCTCCAGCTCCATGAACTTCCCGTCCAGACCGCAGGGCATCATGTACGGCTCTCCGCTCTCTCATCCCGTCCCATCATGCCTCGGGCCGCCGCACAACCCCAGACTTCACGCTCCGCACAAACACACACACGTGAGTCTCGTCTCGTCTCGTCTCGTCTCGCACAGCACACAGTGTCACTGGATTTAACCTGTGTTATTGATATGTGACCCTGGACCACATAACCAGTCAAAAACCCAAAAGAAATGGATGTACGGTTTGTTAGGATAGGACAATATTAGAAAATCTGGAATCTGAGGGTGCAAAAAAATCTAAATATTGAGAAAATCATCTTTAAAGTTGTCCAAAAGCTAAAATAAAATATAAATATTAGATGAAAAACTTAAACTTATAAAACTTAAATGAATAAGTTTAAGCTTAAGTACTAAAATTACTAAAACTGAAATAAATATAAAGTATATATATATATAAATATTAACTAATACAGATGACAAAAGCACATAATAAAATTACTAAAACGTAAACTAAAATTATATTGAAAACTGAAAATCTAAAAGTAAAAGCTAATATAAAATATAAAAATAAATATAATAGTACATTAAAAATATAAAAAGCTAATATAAATGATGAGCAAGTTACAAAGTTAAAAAACTTAAACTAAAATTAAATTGAAACTGAGAATATCAAATAAAAGCTCATTCAAAATATTAATAAATACTATAATAGAAAATTGAAAAAAAATTATATATATACGTATATACAGTGGGTACGGAAAGTATTCAGACCCCCTTAAATTTTTCTGCTTCTACTAAATACTGAGCAAAGGGTCTGAATATTTAGGACCATGTGATATTTCAGTTTTTCTTTTTTAATAAATCTGCAAAAATGTCAACAATTCTGTGTTTTTCTGTCAATATGGGGTGCTGTGTGTACATTAATGAGGAAAAAAAATTAACTTAAATGATTTTAGCAAATGGCTGCAATATACCAAAGAGTGAAAATTTTAAGGGGGTCTGAATACTTTCCGTACCCACTGTATATAAAGGTAATAAAAATGACTAAAGCACATAACAAAATTACTAAAATTAAATTGAAAACTGAAAATATAAAATTAAAAGCTAATTCCAAATATTAATAAATATGATAACAGTACATGAATAATCCTAAAATAACATTGGCACCAGGTTTTTTTCCCCCATCGAGCATCTCGTCTTTTGTCATGCTTTATAATCTGATATTGCTCTGATTTTCTGTACAGCACATCAATAACGAGCACATCCACGGGGAGAAGAAGGAGTTTGTGTGTCACTGGAAGGATTGCTCTCGAGAGCAGCGGCCCTTTAAGGCCCAGTACATGCTAGTGGTGCACATGCGCAGACACACGGGAGAGAAACCTCACAAGTGCACTGTGAGTACTCTCTCTCTGACAGTCTGTGTCTGAACGCTCTTGAAAACCATGCAATATAAATGTTTCTGTTTGTGCGTCTCAGTTTGAAGGCTGTAATAAAGCGTACTCGCGTCTGGAGAACCTGAAGACTCATCTGCGCTCGCACACCGGCGAGAAACCGTACGTGTGTGAACACGAGGGCTGCAACAAGGCTTTCTCCAATGCATCAGACCGTGCAAAGCACCAGAACCGAACACACTCCAACGAGGTCAACTCTAAAATAAAACAAAATCAAATATGCATATATACACATATATCTTTCTTTTTCGATTTTGAAACCATTGCCATTTTATCTGCTGGTTATGTTGCATTTCACTTTTTTGTTTTTGATGTATTTGCAGGTTTGTACAATGTTTGACTAAAATGAATATGACATGACAAAACTTGCAGGATATTTCTGTCAGAAGAAACTATGAGTAAAAAAAGTTTTAAAAAAATAATAATGATTGCAATTTATTTTTGCAATTAATTTATTTTAAAAAAAAGCATGTTATTTTGTGTCAAAGGACAAAAACTATGACTAAAACACCAAAAAATGCACAAACACTGATTACAATTTTTTATTGCATTAATTTATTATAAAATAAAATTGCTTATTTATTGTGAAATGTCAAAAACTGGCTGAAAAACACTGCAATTTATTATTGCATTAATTTATTACGAAAAATTGCAGGTTATTTTTTGTCAAAGGACAAAAACTATGACTAAAACAAAATTACAGACACTGATCGCAATTAATTATTGCATTAATTTATTATTAAATAACTGCTTATTTATTGTCAAAGGACAAAATCTATGGCTAAAACAAAAACTGTAGAAAAAATTATTGCAATTTATTATTGCACTAATTTATTATAAAAATGTTATTCTTTTGCTTTTTGTCTTTTATAATGTATTTATGGTTCAATACAACCTTTGAGGTTCATCTATAAATCTCTGCTTTATTTTTTTATTATTACAATTTTTTTTTAAATATCTCTTTCTCCATTTTTTTTTTAAATGTATTTTATTTATTGCTTTTCTTTTCGTATACATACAAATACAGAAAAAACAGCATTCTAAACAGCATTTCTGTTTTATTTCAGTGTATAATTTATTTTATTTTTTCATAATTTCATAATTTATTTCATTTATTTATTAATTTATTTCAGCAGCAAAACATGCCTCAATGCATTTAGTCTAACCTGACATAAATTAATTCAGCACGACCTCAAAAGAGCAATAAGCCTGTAGTTAACAATGCATAAATGTAGCTTTGTTTCCAAACGTTTGGCTACAGCTGTAGATTACATGCCAACCACGGTCTCTTGTTTCTGGCCTTTAGAAACCATACGTCTGTAAGATCCCCGGCTGCACGAAGCGCTACACCGACCCGAGCTCTCTGAGGAAGCACGTGAAGACGGTACACGGACCCGAGGCTCACATCACCAAAAAGCACCGCGGAGACACCGGACCACGTCCTCCAGGTCTGACCAATGCAGGACAGAGCTCTGAGCTTCTGATAGAAAAAGAGGAGAGAAGCAGAGAGGACTGCAAATTACTCGCTCCAGAAACCGCACTGGTAAGACAAGCTTTGCCCTCTTTTTCTCTTGACTATCCATTGTAACGCATAGCTGTGTGAATAGTAGGTCTGTAAAAAAAACATTCAAATTTCGAATATTCGTCGAATTTCAAATAAAAATCCACATTCGAATGCAAAAACGTTGCATTTGAATTTTAGGTGTGCGAGAACATCAATGCGGAGGAGATCTTGTTTACGCCAAAACCGAAACCAAGCCGTTCACACAGAACGCATATTTCGTGCATTTTCTAGAGGGATGTCTATCAGCATTGCACTCGCATCTCGCACAAAAGAGCCGCATGTTTAGAAAGTCATGTAAAATTAATACAAGCTTAACTTTGAAAAAAACACATCTCGAGGCGGGGTTTTTTTTTTCCCATCTTACTGCAATTCGTATTTTTAAATGAAAAATGTACTCTGTGTGATTTCGGTCCTTTGTATTAAACTATGCACACACATACATGATGCTGTTTTGTTTATAGTTGTTTGAGCAACTTAATTAATTATACTTGGTTTATAAACATTATTTTAAACATAATGCACTTTGAATAAACGTGCATTAGTAATATTTTGCTCGATGCACCCTCTTGTGGCCTCAGGAGAGAAGCCAAAAGCTTTTCTTCACCCTAACTGAAATTATGCATTTTAAATTCGAATAAATTTGAATTTGAATTATATTTAAGTACAAAATTCGAATTGAGTTTTTCAGCCATTTTGACAGCCCTAGTGAATAGTAACTACAATATGTCTTGAATCATTTCTAGAAATCCCAACCAAGTCCTGGTGGCCAGTCATCCTGTAGTAGTGAACGTTCTCCACTAGGGAGCGCCAACAATAACGACAGCGGAGTGGAGATGAACCTCAATGCGGCGGGGAGTCTGGAGGACCTGACCACACAAGAGGAGAGCGGGATCACCAGCGTGTCCGAGTCCGGCGGAGGCTCGGGGGGGATGTGCATGTCTGTTCAGGCCTTGAAGAGGTTGGAGAACCTGAAGATCGACAAACTAAAGCAAATTCGCCGGCCAACACCACCTGGGCGGAGCGCAGGGAACAAACTGACGGCTCTTTCAGGTAAAAGACTAAGCAAATCAAGCCCTTGTTCTTTGTTTGCAATCACTGTCAATCTGATGAAAAGTTTTGTTGGCAAAGGGTATTTTGATTTCATCAACAATAACAAATATCAGATGAAAAATGTTCATTAAAGCGAATTAATGGTATGTGAGATAAATGCACAGCATAAACGTTATTACAATCTGCAATGGCACAATGATATAAATGGACAAGTGAATTTGAACATTTGTGACCCTGGAGCACAAAACCAGTCATAAGGGTCAATTTTTCGAAATTGAGATTTAGACATCATCTGAAAGCTGAATAAATAATATTTCCATTGATGTATGGTTTGTTAGGATCGGACAATATTTGAAAATCTGGAATCTGAGGGTGCAAAAAAATCTAAATATTGAGAAAATCATCTTTAAAGTTGTCCAAATGAAGTTCTTAGCAATGCATATTACTAATCAAAAATTAAGTTTTGATATATTTACGGTAGGAGATTTACAAAATATCTTCATGGAACATGATCTTTACTTAATATCCTAATGATTTTTGGCATAAAAGAGAAATGTATAATTGTGACCCATACAATGTATTGTTGGCTATTGCTACAAATATCCCCCAGCGACTTAACACTGCTTTTGTGCTACAGGGACACATATGTGCTCGTCAGAATTTGTACAATTTTAATTTTCGTTTACTAAAATTTGTAATTTTAGACAGGAAAACTGACTAACATCAGTAAATATGACGATAAAATGTGCAGGATATTTTTTGTCAAAAGACAAAAATGATGATTAAAATAATAATAATAAAAAAACTAAAAACTAACACTGATTTCGATTATTGAAATTAATTTATTCAAAAAATGCAGGTTGTTTGTACAAACACTGATTGCAAATTATTATAAACAATTGAAGGTTAGTTTTGTCAGAAGACACAATGTCAAATTAACCTTGATTGAAATTATTGAAATTTAATATAAAGAAAAAGTTGTAGGTTGCTTTTGTTGTAAGACAAAAATGACAAAAAAACTACAAACACTGATTGCAATTAATTTTTGCATTTATTATAAAACATTTGCAGGTTATTTCTGTCAAAGGACAAAAACTGACTAAAACCGTAAACTGTAAAAATTAACACTGATCACAATTTATTGCAATTAATTTATTATAAAAATGCACGTTGTTTTTGTTGATGGCTAAAACAAAAGAATTGTATAAACACTGATTGCAATTTATTGTTGCATTAATTTATTATTTTTTAAAAAATGTGCAGGTTATATCTTTTTATACATTTTATACAAAAACATTTATTTAGCTAGGTCATCTGAACTGTTCTTTCAGATCAAAGTTAAATGTTCATTTATTAATTAGGCATCGTATGCATTTAGGGTTCACACTTTACCTTTTATAGTAATCAATCCCATGATTTTATGATTTCTAGCTTCATGCTTTTCCTGGAAATCTACCATTGAATAATTCTCATGCTAACTCTGCTTCCTTCTCTGCTCCTTTCAGCAACAGGAGAGATGATGGGCATGTGTGCGCCTTCACCCTTGCTCTCTAACCGGCGTATAATGCAGCTTTCTGCCCCGGATCTGGGTGGAGTTAGTGGAATGGGAATGCCCTGCCCACCGAACGACCGGCGGGGCAGCGGCACCAGCAGCCTCAGCTCTGCCTACACAGTGAGCCGCCGTTCGTCCATGGTCTCCCCCTACCTATCAAGCAGACGCTCAAGTGACGTGTCCCAAGTGGGTCATTGCCAGTCCGTGATGGGGGCCGATGTTCCCAGCGACCCGCTGTCTCCTCAGAACAGCCAGAGGGGCGGCTCATGCCAGATCTCTGGGGGATTGCCAGGTCTACCGAGTCTGACTCCTGCGCAGCAGTATAGTCTGAAGGCTAAATATGCAGCAGCAACAGGTGGTCCACCGCCCACCCCGCTACCCAACATGGAGCAACCTGGAAGATTCCTGAGGGAAAGCCATGGCCAACCTCTTCCTCCATTTCTGCAGCAAGGCGGCACAAGGAGGCACAGTGCTAATACCGAATACGGCACGGGAGTGATCTATCCGCATCAGGCACCTGGCAACAACACAAGGCGCGCCAGTGATCCAGTACGCTCGGGTGCTGACCCGCAGGGTTTACCCAAGGTGCAACGCTTTAATAGCTTGAGCAACGTGTCCCTTATGAGTCGCCGCAATGCACTGCAGCAGTGCGGGTCTGATGCCGCTCTCAGCAGGCACATGTACTCGCCTCGTCCACCGAGCATCACTGAAAATGTCATGATGGAGGCCATGGAGATGGATCCTCATGGGACCGCCGAAGGCAGAGAGCAGGGCAACATGATCCAGGGTGGAGACAGAGTCTACATGGGCTACCAGCATCTTCACCACCACCCTCACAATGCAAGTCAACTGTCTCCCAGACAAGAAGGTCTGAGCTGCATGGATCAAGTCTACCAGTCTCAAATGCAAGGTCCGTACCAGCGTGAGGAGATCTGTGCCACCGGGATGATGGGTCAGGGTGACATTGCGAACAGTCTTCTACAGCAAGCTGAGTACGGCATGAGCAACTGTCAGCTCAGCCCCTCCGGTCCACATTATCCCAGCCTTGCTGATGGATCAGGACCCTGGGGACAGACCAACCATCTCCACAGCCCTCAGACCAATACGCAGTACCAGGGTGCAGGCATGCAAGGACAGCACTACCCTCAACAGGGTGTATACGACCCTACATCTGACACTGGCCATCAAAGAGTTACTGTAAAACCAGAGCAATTCCATTCATCCATGGGAGGATCAAGTTCCTGCCAGAACACCAAACCTCTACACCAGCATCGGCATAATGCGAATATGCAGGCGTATCCACCGCAGTCGCAAGGTCGGGGCCTCATGAGCAGATCCTCCAATGTGAATTGTGACTTCCTTCATGGACAGATGGGAACGCAAGCCAGTCTTCCGCAGCAGAGCCAGGCGGGATCGTTCCCAAGCGGCGGAGGGATAAATCTTGCACTGCCGGAGAGCCGCAGGTCACAGACGCCAATGCATCAGATGAAGGAAATGATGGTGAGGAACTATGTGCAGTCCCAGCAAGCTCTCCTGTGGGAACAGCAGCAGGAGCAAAGGGTAGTCGATGGTCTCTCTGGGAAGCCCGATGGCATGGACATGGGAGGACAAACAGCGACGATGCAGCACAGCCCACAGCATCAACAAGCTAACCAGAACCTTTATCCTGGTAACTCTTTCCAAGGCTACCCGAATCAGAACTTGATGAGCCCACTGCAAAATAGAGTTCCCGGTTCCATCAAGGAGCATACAACTGGGATGCAGGGATCCTGCTACGGGCCGGACATGGTGCCACGACCACCTCAGGGACAAAAGCCTCTGAGTCGCCAGAACAGCCTATCACAGCAGGCAGGTGGAGCTTACCTGGGCAGCCCGACTCACCTGAGCCCGGTCCACTCCACCGCCAGTCCCAGAAAAGCTGTGCGGCTCCCGCCAGTTCAGCAGCAGCATTCAGAAAACTTCACCAATAGCAACAACCCCATGTACTACTCAGGCCAGATACATATGCACCACGACATAGAGAAGACTCAGGATGGACCATGCCTGGCCCAGCAGCACCTGACAGGGATAGACCCTAATACCAAGCCCACATCGATGGCCTACTCGGACCCTGCACCCATGTCCAACGCCTTAGAAAACCTGGACTTGGAGAACGCTCAGATTGACTTTGCTTCCATCATTGATGACCCAGAACCTTCATCTTACAGTCCAATAAACCCACCGCTGGGTCACCACCAGTGCTCCTCTCAGACCTCCTCCCGTCTCACCACACCCCAAACCTCCATCACCCTTCCAAGTGGCCTCTCTAATATGGCAATTGGGGACATGACCTCAATGTTGACATCCCTTGCTGGGGAGAACAAGTATTTGAACACATTGTCTTAAAGTGTTTATACATATAATTGGGCCAAAGTGAGCATGTAGACTCTATTGCCCTTTCGACACTAGAGGTTCCTCTGGACGTCCCTTTTCTTGCTCAAAGGCCAGGTACTAATGGTTCTGCTGATGTCCTACATGGGATCTCACAGATTTTGCATAATAGTTTTGTAATTGTGTGAAATATGTTGCTTAGCATTACCAGAGAGGCCTAATGACTATTACTGAAGAGGCATTCCAGTCACTACTGTGAGACTGTTTACGATGGAAATCTTTGTTTAAAATGTAAATATGAGCTTTGGACTGTAAATGGTGGCGAGATAGTATAACGAAAATCAACTTTTTGATACATATACAGACTTGGACTGGCACAAAGGCCACATGAGCTCTACATAGGAAGACTGAAATACTAAGTGAGCGAATGTGTAAAGGAAGAAGCTGGTTGGCACATTCTCTAGAAGTACTGGTAAAGACAGGACTCAAGTGCCTTTGACCATTGTGGCCTCTTTGATTCCTCACAGGTACGACATGTTGGAGAAAACTCGTCAGATGAGACACATGGACACTCGGACAGATGGATAAACTCAGTATGAAGCCCAAAGTATACTTCAGTTCATGAACACTTGGTGTATGAGTACAGCCAAATGCATAGCCCTTCAAAGTATACTCCACTTAATAGTGCACAAAAACACAGGCGGCCGACACATGCGCACTAGAAAGTTGAATCTTTGTCGATGTCTGCGCTATTCCTCTACAGAAGTTATGAGCAATAAAAAAATAAGTCTTTGTACTCTTTTAAACTAGCAGTTGTGCCTCCAGTAGATTGCCGTTCCATGTCGTTTCTTTTTCTACCGTGAAACAACCAATGTCGCCACCTTGTGGAGCAACTAATTAGTGCAAATAAGCTGTTTGCACAAGCTGAGGGTAAAGAGTACATGCATTGGGCTTAAGAGAAAGAGTGCTCTCAGTAAAACGCATGGCTAACTGTCATAATGGCAAATTACATAACAGTATTTTGAAGCCTTGTCAATTATCTCTAGGTCTAGACAGGAGCCTTTGAGTCATTATATTCATTCAAAGTTTTAGTGTTTGTTTTCTGATTATTTGACTAGTCTGCTTTCAGACAGATACGTTAAAGGGTAACGGCACTGAGTGGTTTTTTGTATGGTTTCTTTTAGTCTACGCTGCGCTACATAACCCAAGCTAGCATGCATATGCATTGCACTGACAACAGCACTGAGCTGAGGAGAAGTGATGAATTTTTATTAAAGGCTCCATATAGTATGAAAGGTACATACAGTGCAGGTATTTGGTTTTAAGTCTACTTTGTCTACATTGTGCCTAACTCATTTTATCATTTAAGTGTTATCAAGGGCTGCGGTTCGAATGCAACCCTTTAAAAATCCCAGTGTTTCCACTTTCTGTGGCATACCAAAGACGACCGGCACTGAGACGAGTCCACACTTGATATTTGCTTGACACAACGTCATGTGCTTCCATATTGCTGTGATAAAGAATGTTACGATGTTCTTTTTATCATTTCCTCTTTTTTTTTTTTTAAAGAAAAAAAAACATTTTGTGGTTTTTGCATTTCTGTGTGTTTTTATATCTGTCACAGTTCACTCAAACCGTTTTGCTGGCGAAAGTTCATATAGTAGTAACAGATTTATGATATTAGCATTTATCTCATCTATTTACAAGGAAAGTAAGTGATATTTTTGCGTACCGTTTTCTACATTTTTGTACAAAGGTACTATATTATACCAGTTTATAAATAAACAGAGCCTGTGATGGAAGAAAATGATGTGTTGTATTATGTTTCTTTGTGCATATCCATGTTACTATTATAGCTTTGTTAATAGTTTGAATTAGTTTTAACTTTTTATATTACCTGTTTTTAGTTCAAGTTTTATTAATTTTGTTGTTTTGTCATTTTTATTCGTTCAGTTTATAGTTTTTATTCAATTGTATTTCAGATTTAGTACTTTTAGTACATCAAGTTTAACTAGTTGAGAAATGTTGCCTTGGCAACTAGCTGTAATAAAACAAGTATGTTTTTTATATTTTATTGTATTTCAGTTTTTTTCAAGCAAGTAAGATTTTAGTTTTAACTATAATAACCCTGATCCATGTACTTCTCTCTCAATAGTTGAATACACTGGAAAAAAAACAAGATATCGGACTACATCACAACACATTTGTGTGCATTTTCAATGCCACCTATATTTGTTCACAGCTTGTTTTTTTTTGTTTTTTTTTTGAGGTAGAAGCATGTCAGATGTCCTCTAGATGGCGTCAAATCTACAGCTCATGGTCTTTGTGAGGTCTTGAAAGCCACACACAGGGTTTATGTTACACTGGCATATTAGATCCCTCCTCCTTTAGTTACAAAGAGAACATTTCTGCTCACTAATACTGGAATCTCTGTGACAAAGCTAATCCTCTCCATACTTGCCCTTTCCCTGTCCCTGATTATAAGATCAAAAGAAAGTTTTTCCTGCACTACATGCCAGTGTGTGTGTGTTGGAGTCTATAATGCTGTGGCTCCCGGTCCCTGGTACCCTGATTCGGCCCCACGGATCTAATGCTGTGTGCGGCATGAATCCAATGAAGACCTGCCCTCGACATCACCATCGCCAACTCCGCTGACTCAATTCTCCCTGTCTCCCATCTGTTATTTGCTACATAACTGACTGATCGTCTCTGCTTCTTCCTTTCGCTCTGAACCTTGCTTCCATCCTCGTTTTCATGACTTGACCACCGTTAGCCATCTCTCATCTCGCACTATAACATCACAACACATTTGTGTGCATTTTCAATGCCACCTATATTTGTTCACAGCTTGTTTTTTTTTTTTTGTTTTTTTGAGGTAGAAGCATGTCAGATGTCCTCTAGATGGCGTCAAATCTACAGCTCATGGTCTTTGTGAGGTCTTGAAAGCCACACACAGGGTTTATGTTACACTGGCATATTAGATCCCTCCTCCTTTAGTTACAAAGAGAACATTTCTGCTCACTAATACTGGAATCTCTGTGACAAAGCTAATCCTCTCCATACTTGCCCTTTCCCTGTCCCTGATTATAAGATCAAAAGAAAGATTTCCCTGCACTACATGCCAGTGTGTGTGTGTTGGAGTCTATAATGCTGTGGCTCCCGGTCCCTGGTACCCTGATTCGGCCCCACGGATCTAATGCTGTGTGCGGCATGAATCCAATGAAGACCTGCCCTCGACATCACCATCGCCAACTCCGCTGACTCAATTCTCCCTGTCTCCCATCTGTTATTTGCTACATAACTGACTGATCGTCTCTGCTTCTTCCTTTCGCTCTGAACCTTGCTTCCATCCTCGTTTTCGTGACTTGACCACCGTTAGCCATCTCTCATCTCGCACTATCCCTCCTTCATCATTAGTGGTTTTTGCTCAGGCAAGGAGCCCTTTACTCTTGCTCATACTTGGGGTAACCTCAAGTATTGAAGCTGTTCCGCACTGTTTGTGCTATGAACATGACTGATTCTTTAAATCATGTGGCGTGTTGGGAAGTTCTGTCATTTTGCACAAAAAAAAAAAAAGTTGGCTGTTATTTAAAATTGAAAATCATTAAATGATGTTTATTTTGTGATGCATATAAATTCTGAAACTCCAATCAATGCAAACCCTTACTGCAAAATGCACTCAATTCTCATTGACCAAATGCATAGGAAACATACTAGTCGTTCTATAATTAACATCTGCAGAATGTAGCATTCAGCTGATTTCTAAAGAGAGAGTGCAGAGGTTTAACAGCACTCTGAACTACAGCCTGACTTAAGCCACAACCTACTGAGCTGAGGTTGCTGATACAAATGGAAATGGCAAAATAAGTGCTGAGGTTTTCACATGCAAAGAAGTGAAACCAGCATAATGACTTTTCTTTTCTTGGTTCGCCATTCAAGTCGAGGCTTTTTATTCTCTTTGTCACAAAGGTTGGCATATAATTAACTCCTGTTTAATATGCCGTTAAGGAAGACACCTCTCTTTGCTCCCTCTCTGAACCCCTGCCAAACTCGTGTGCATGCTTGGAAACCCCACGGGACACCCCACCCAAGGGCGTCCCTCATGTTCGGGACCATCTGTGTGCGCAGATTCTTGCACTTACTGGCTGTTTTAGACTCATTGCACACAGCAAACTGCACTCTTTGTCTGCACATAAAGAGAAAATGGTTCTTCGTTTATGACGTTCATGTAAAAAACACTTTCTTACCATCATCTGCAGGGGCAGAGGTGAAGTGGTGGCTTTTGTTTGTGTCCTCCTTTACTCTCATCAGGGTGTAGGTTTATGACCCATTCCATCTCTTTCCTCTCCTGGACAAAAGGGATGTGAGCTCTCATCCCTTCTTCTTTTCTTTGCTTTCTCCACCTGAAACTTTCTATTTTATGTCCCTAAAAAGACAAATGCTTTGCATTTTGCCTTTAAAATGCACAGGATTGAGTACTAAAAACTACCACGGTTCATACATTGTTAGTACCTTGGAGTACCATTGTAATCATTCTGTAAATTAATTAAAGTACTATAGTAGTACCTTCTGATATCATTACTGTACTGTGGTAACAATGCAGTATTTTTTATAAGGTTGTTTTTGGCAGACTAACTGTAAAACAACAAACACAGCTTAGAATTGTGCTAAATGCTTTTAAAATGCACAGAATTCGCTATTAAAAAAGTAACATGCATTGTGTTTCTCAATGGAAATACAAATACTTTTGATATAATCACTGTAATGTGGTAGGCTACCAACTGTATTTGTGTTCGATTGTACACCAATGGTTCTGTAAAAAACACTTTCTTACCATCATCTGCAGGGGCAGAGGTGAAGTGGTGGCTTTTGTTTGTGTCCTCCTTTACTCTCATCAGGGTGTAGGTTTATGACCCATTCCATCTCTTTCCTCTCCTGGACAAAAGGGATGTGAGCTCTCATCCCTTCTTCTTTTCTTTGCTTTCTCCACCTGAAACTTTCTATTTTATGTCCCTAAAAAGACAAATGCTTTGCATTTTGCCTTTAAAATGCACAGGATTGAGTACTAAAAACTACCACGGTTCATACATTGTTAGTACCTTGGAGTACCATTGTAATCATTCTGTAAATTAATTAAAGTACTATAGTAGTACCTTCTGATATCATTACTGTACTGTGGTAACAATGCAGTATTTTTTATAAGGTTGTTTTTGGCAGACTAACTGTAAAACAACAAACACAGCTTAGAATTGTGCTAAATGCTTTTAAAATGCACAGAATTCGCTATTAAAAAAGTAACATGCATTGTGTTTCTCAATGGAAATACAAATACTTTTGATATAATCACTGTAATGTGGTAGGCTACCAACTGTATTTGTGTTCGATTGTACACACGACACATTCAAATAACTGCAAAAACCGGGTATAAAAGAAAGTAGCCTACAAGTCTTACAACGTTGCATAATTTACGACGTTTATGCAAAGCTAAATATCCAAGCAAATAATACAAACCATTTTTCTTTGAAATCTCGGTCATCCTCTGGTAATATTTAGTGTTGTGGGTTTTCTTGTAATGTCTGTAAGAGATATATATATATATATATTCCAGCCAAAAAGGAGAAATCCGCCCGCTGTTGTAAAAAAAAGTAATTTATTTGGGAGCGCTTCGGGATCAAGGTCCTACCTCGCGCGCCTCGGGAAGCGTTCAGGTGGGGGTTGCCAAGGTAGGGGTCCTGGAACGGTGTGTTTGAGTTTTTCTGATGTTTTTCTTTTTCAGTTGCTAAACAGATTACCGTTCAATTACTAGCACGACAGAGGTGACAATACAATACTTCCTACAGCGATCAACAGGAGCGGGGGCTGATGGGACAGGTGCGATTCGCTCACAATAAAACTACGCATTAAAAGACCGTTTGCAACTTTAAGCGCTAAAATGAAGGAAATGTTCGAAAAGTGGAAAATAACGTGCCTCGCTGGTGTTTATCGGTTAAGTGTAGAGAGGGCTTTACTGTCCAAAGCGGCATGCATTTCATAATTTTAATAACAATTATAATTTACACATTTAATGCGTTATTATTGCATAATGTTTTTACAATAGTGAGGTGCAGATATCTGGCACTATTTGCACCAAGTAACAGCATCTAACTACTATTATTGCAAAGAAAATACTCCTATTTTTACATAGTGTAGGACTAAATAGAATCCATTGCTATTTGCACTTAGTGCAAATAGCCGCTGCCTTTTTTAAATTGTAAATATTCGCTTACGTGTACATTATATATAAAGCAATCAAAAATGTAAACTTTCAGCATTTTTGCAAACTTAAAATTTGAGTTGCTATTAACGTCTGACGCTTCTTAAATACAAAAACAAGCATTCAACTGCATGCATATCTAATTTGATCACATTTTTCGCATGCACACTAGTAGATAAATCCTGTTATGAACAATAAAACGCATAGCCTACCTATAATATGGCAAGTAGGCTAAGCATAGGCAACATTGGCTGTATAAGCTACATTATAGGCTACGTAACGCAACGTGTTTATGACCAAAAAAAAAAAAAATAGAAATGGGAATTTTTTTTTCTTTTATAAAAATGTAACGCACATTCTCCTTTCTTAGGCTGACACACCAGACCTGCCTCCGGTGACATCACCAGAGCCGCTGCTGAACGCGACGCGGGGCTGAGCGACGCTGCAGTCACGCGCTGTAGGGCGCGAGCGATGCGGAGCGACGCTTCAGTCATTCACCCGCGCGCTCACCGGGCAACCACGGCCAAGGCATGGCAGAGAGGAGCCGAGGAAAGCGGAGGAAACAGGCGAACCCGCGGAGAAACCAAGGTTAGTGGCGAACCGAGCAGCCGCCTTGAGAAGTTTCTAAAAGTTGCCCGGGTTTATTTCAGCGCTCATTCATTCCTCTAGACGTTTACAACCGTAGCTGGACAGCAGCAGCACTTCCTAAACTATTAAACAGGCCTATCCCATGCTTATCCGGCACTTGCATTACTTTAATACATTCGTGCATTGACTGAGTGTCAGCTTTAAAGTTTGCGGAACTTGCGGTGCGCTTTGCATCATTTCTGCAGTCCTCAGCATCACATTTTCATTGAGTTTTACAACATTCCGCTGCACTGCATTTGTTGTGCATTCCTCACATCCTCCTGACTTTTTACTGATGAACAGAAAATTGTTTCGATTTGCATTTGTCAATTAAATAAATAAAAAAATCGTTTAATTAAGAAGAACAGTGATTTCGTTTTACTTTAATATTATAGATTAAACTGACTTTAAAAGGATTGTTCGTATAATTGTTGCTAACTTGAGCAACTTATGCATTATAATAAATCAAAACTACTATGGTACTTATTCTGAAATTGTTGTAAAGTGTAGTGCAATCACTAATTAAAATGCTTATTTAAATTAAATTTATATTTAACTTTATCATTTGAAATGGCAAATTATGCGATTATGAGATTTCTCAGTAAATAAGACTAAATGAACTCATTGGTTTTCTTGAAGAAAAGTGGCTCTGTTTGGGCCTACAAGAGTTACATCTCAAGCTCTGAACATCTTCACATGGTCTCGGATATTCACTTGCAGGTTTTATATGTGTACCCCACAAACTTCACACTCAACAAATGAATTAGTTTCACATTTGTTTCTAGATTGTGTGTTGATACCCATGAACGCAAGACAAGCTCAAAGCCGAGACAACCGTTCCCGTTCCAGAGATCCGATACGTTGGTGGTTTAGAAGAAGTGTGAAAGTGGACCATCTGAGTGATTGTGTTTCTTAACAGCTGTATAGTGTTATACATGACTGAAGGCGTTTTGTTTGACATGCATGCAGGACTGTGTGTGTGTGTGTGGTTAGACAGCTTCCTCATTTGGATGTGGCATAAGTGTCATTTTTGTCGACCTCGCACCCATGTGTGATGGCCAGAGCTAACGGGCAGAAGCCCACTGTGTCGCCTCACACACACAAACTCATATATAGGAGCTGTGAGTCGTGACCCTACCAATTATAAACTTGCTTCCCTAATTCCTCTATTAACCGCTGATGCACGAAAGTAACATAAAAAGACGGTTTTGAGTTGCCAGCTACCTTGTTTTGGTCCACTAGTGGTCAGTTTACAAGACGAATAGTGTAAATGAGTCATTTAAATATACGTATCAAAAAGTCAATCTTTTCTCTGCCGCAGCATCACTTTTCTTCACGTTTGAGTCTTAATGTGTTTGAATCCGCTGGCTTTTAATGGATGTACGAAGTCAGCAACTGAACCAAAAAAATGTTTTATGGCATCGATGGTTCCATGGAACTTTTCCATCGTACAAAAGTTTCTTTATGGAGGGAAAAGGTTCTTTAGATTATTAAAATGTTTTTTACGCTAAGAAAAACAGAGGTTCATTTAAAGCTATGGCTTTGCTGCAGAAAGCTTCTTTTGAAACCTTTATCGATTAGTCTTACAAGTAGCCTAAGTCATCACATTTTCTTATAAGACTGGACATTTGAAGTCACTTACATAAAAAATGGTCTGATTTGAATCTGAAAAGATTGATTAACCCTTCAGTAAGTGCTAGTTGGTCAGACTAGTTCTTAAGATGCAGACTAGTTTCCTTAAGTGCAAGAGCCGCAGGTTTAGAGAATCACATTAACTATTAACATCATCCACTAACAAATAGGATTGCAAAAAGGTGGAACATTTCCAGTAAATTTCTGAAACTTTCCAGGATTTTTTTGGAATATTCCAGGGAGTTTTGGAAAGTTTCCGGAAATTTACCAGAAAAGTTCCACCCCTTCGCAACCCTAACTAACCACAAACACAATACTGACTGTTTTCATCTTCAACATGGCATCTGTTGATTTAGCAGTGCAAATGTCTTTTTTGTCAAATGTTTCATTTGTAAGGTAAGGTGTGTTTGTGCATCAGTCTTTTCAATAAATGACACTTGCTTTAAAATCAAATATCTAATGCAATGACAGTCACACACTGGAAGTGTAACATAAGCATCCGTAGAGGTTTTGGGGTCCATGTAGAATGACACACAATGTTGCACTGTCAAAAAATGTGATGACATGCAAAATGTTGTAGATAACGCAGCCTTACATTATGTCTTCCTCTCTGTTCTTTAACAAAAATGTGTGCGCGTGTGTGTGTGTGTGTGTGTGCATATGCAGAACAGATGAGATTGTGATGAGAGAAAACACAATCGCAACAAACACAGAGAGATTTCTCTGGAACGTGGCGCGTTCATTGCTTGTTTCGTGGCTCAACAGCATGTTTCTCAACTATTAAGTGTGTGTGTGTGTTTTGTATAATGTGGCAGATAGTGGACAGTGGGATAGTCCAGATAACAGGGAATGTTCTCAGAACTATGGCCATCATAAATCTCAAAGTTATGAACAAATGTTCTTGAAGTAACATCAATAGAACGTTTGTTCTCAAAGCATTAGCACAAAAACGTCATTTATACATCGTTTTTCTGAAACGTTTCAGGTGGACGTTCACCTAACATTTTTCAAATGTTACTATTTGTTTCGGAATGTTCGAAAGTAACGTTCAAAAGTAACATTCTCATAATGTTCGTAAGATGATACAATGGAATGTTCCCTTAACATTCGCATGATCATTAAAAAAGTTTTTAAAACTTAAGCGAAACGTTCTTAGAACACATGTTTGGTAGCTCGGCGACTGCATGCATCCGAAAACATGAAGCGAAACATTTTCCCTCTTTTGTTTTGTGTTTTGTCACTCAAGTCCGAGCGCTTTCATCTGACCAGCTACAAAAAACGCTTTGCAAAATGAGCATGAGATCCGCAGATGTTGTTCAGTCCGACAACATCATCCTCAGTAGTGAGGGGAATGTCTTCTTTATGGAGGAATACGGATATATTGTCACAACATCTAGCCAAGTTTCAGAGTAAAGACATCTTAATGCATCCGTCATCCGATCTGAAATATCAGCGATTACGGATGGTCTTTGACCTTCGGTTTTGACATAGTGCTGCAGTTACAGCTCATTTCCTTGCCTATTGTCTCTCTGCGCGTGTTTTCTCTCTCTCTCTTGAATTGCCTCTTTTGTGTTTTCTTTTTTCAAGTGCCAGTTTATTTAAACTCTTTTCCCTTTTTCTTCATTCGCCTTCATTCTATGGAGGAATACAGATATATTGTCACAACATCTAGCCAAGTTTCAGAGTAAAGACATCTTAATGCATCCGTCATCCGATCTGAAATGTCACATCTTTGTTATCAGCGATTACGGATGGTCTTTGACCTTCGGTTTTGACATAGTGCTGCAGTTACAGCTCATTTCCTTGCCTATTGTCTCTCTGCGCGTGTTTTCTCTCTCTCTCTTGAATTGCCTCTTTTGTGTTTTCTTTTTTCAAGTGCCAGTTTATTTAAACTCTTTTCCCTTTTTCTTCATTCGCCTTCATTGATTTTCAAACCCCAGCCTTTGTAGGCAGCTGGGGTCCAGCTGTGTGTCTGCTGTCGAGTGTGTGTGTGTGTGTGTGTGTGTGTATGTGTGTCTCTGGCACAGTCTTGTCACAGTGGGCAGAATGCGAGAAAACGATAGACAGAGAGAGAGAGAGACTAAGAAAAAGTCGCTTGTCATTTTGGACAACAGAAGAGAACTGGGCAAGAAATCAGAGAGATCTGAGCGGAGCGAGACAGCGAGGAGTCCAGGCTCCATGGTTTATTAGTGGCGCTCCCCAAACGAGAGCGCTGAGGCGTCAGACGCAGCAAGAAAGAGAACGAGGAGAAATAAAAGAAAGGGCCAGAGATTGGGACAGTTAAAGTGGCTCAGAAGATGTGTGTGTTCCATCGCTGACTAAATGAATTAGGACGAAATTATAACACTGTATAACTATGTCACAATATAGTTATTTCTGCTGGAAATGTTATTAAAAATGCCATCTATTTTAAACTTGTAGTGACTGAGCTAATAAAAGATGTGCAAGATAGTTGACAAAATAAATTAGGACCGAAAGTCATTTTAACACTGCATTAATGTATAAAAATGTTTAATGCATCTAAAATGTTTTTAAAAATGTGTTCTATTTGAAACTTTTAGAGATTGGAACCGTAAAAGTGGCTCAGAAGATATGCTTTTTCAACTGTGAGATTGCTGACTAAATATATATGATTTGAATGCTGTGTAACTGTATATATCAGGATCTAGTTCTTTCTGCTGGAAATTGTATTAAAAAATGAAATCTGTTTTAAACTTTTAGAGGTTGAGACGATAAAAGTGTCTCGGAAGATGTGTGAGATAGTTGATAAAATGAATATAAGTCATTTTAATGCTGTATATCACAATATAGTTATTTCTGCTGGAAATTTTATTTAAAAGTGCATTGCATTTTAAACGTTTAGAGACTGAGACAGTAAAAGTGTCTCAGGAGATGTGTGTTTCAGTGCCAGATTGCTGACTAAATTAATTAAGACCAAAATATAAGTCATTTTAATGCTGTATAACTGTATTTATCACAATATAGTTATTTCTGCTGAAAATGTGATTACATTTATGCATTTAGTAGATACTTTTTTACAAAGCAAAACAAAAGCAATTTATCAAAAAGCCAACAATATTATAAAAAACAATAATATAAAAAAATGCATTCTGTTTTAAACTTTTATGGTTTGTATGGCATATAAAAATGCATGTGCAATTAAAGAGAAAATCATCTCATTTTATTATATGTTATTTGGAAGCAAAACATTTATATCGTTTTTGCATTATAGTAAAATCTCTACTGGTGTTTACCGTCTAACAGGCAACGTTCTGGCAAGGTTCTCTCGAGTTTGTGAACAGTAACCTTATAGTAATTTTAATAGAACA